TCATCACAACATATTCATTTGAGTTGCCTCAATAGAGTTAGGGTCTAGTCACTGTCATAATCATATCAAATTAAACCGTCAAATTTCTGTAGAAGCACTTATGCAAAATTTCAATATTCAGTCACAATTATATTTGAATATTTGTGTTCATTGGTTTAATTTGATTAGGACAGTGACAGAGATTGAAATTAGGAGAATGATGCATAACTAGGTTCCAAGTCAGGTATAATGCAAGAATAACTATACGTAGATGTTAATTTCATAGCTATCAGTTTTATCGCTATCGGGAAGAAGCATTTTACCACTGTAAAACTCTGTTTTGGTGGCCTAGCCTTCAATTTTTTCATCATTTTATCGGTTTGAAGAAAATAATCATTGATATATTTTCAGTAGTATCGGGTAAGTTGTATGTTGCCACTTTTGTAAATAACACATGTAAAATACAGATCGATCAAGTTGAATAAAAGCTTGTAATAAACACTTACCTCGGCATTCCGAGATATCGCCTGGGATATCATACAGATAATAGCTTGGGCCAGCTGGTTATTCCCCTTACACAGCGAGTGGATCAGGTTCCTCGTCTGCTGCAGGTTGATGTTGTCTTTGATCTGCTGGTAGAGAAATGTGAACCCTTTGCCGCCCGCTATTGCGTTGTAGTCTTTCTCGCTCAACTGCATCTTCCCAGTAACGTCTCTACTCTTCTCCAACAAGGATGCGATCAGTGTGATCATCTTGTCGAGAGACAACGGCTTGTACTTGTCCGGCGGCAGAGCCACAACTTCTTCTTCCTCCTCACCTTCACTGACGTCGACAAAGTCGTTGACTTTTTGACCAAGATAAAAATGGACCATCGTGTTGATGGCACCGACAGCAAGCAGAAACTTCGATTCGTCCTCGCCCATTTTGCTGAACTCATAAAGGAAGCCAAAATATTCTGTTAGGTGCTTCAGGTGGGCCTTCGCGCCGTGCTCCATGAGCGACAGCAGCATCCTGATAAAGCGGGTGACACAAGAAGAGTTTCCGATGTTGGAGGAATCCACTAGTTTTCTTTCAGACATTTCCGACATATCTCCGGATTCCAGGTATAGTTTCGATTGCGACTGCTTCAGTCGCTGTATCACATGAATGCACAGCCTTTGGAACATCTGCCTCACCATTTGGTTGGGACATTTCAGCAGAACTTGGACCGGCCACCAGGTATTTTGTGCCATGTGATCTAAGAACCAAATGCAGGCTTCTTGGCAAGCATTGAACTGTAAAGAAGGAATTTATAAAATATCATAATGTGTGAGTGATGATACATTCTCGTTCTATAACCGTGAGTTAAAAATTTAAACTACAAAAATTATATTCTATAAAAAAAGAGGTTAACGAGGTTAAAGTACCAAGTTTGTTACACAGGAATTTTCATTTTTTAGGAACATAAACTTCGATACAAAACAAAAATACAATAGGCTCAGGCACAACCGAACTATATTTCTAATATTGAGTGTTGCCACTGCATTCCTCTCACTAAATTTTATAAAGTTTGATGTCTTTCCAGCAATTCAGCAAAAGTTTTGAGAGAAGGACTTCTACATTGGATACGTCTTTTTAGCTTTAGCAATAGCAAAAATCCAGTCCTATGAGTAGAGCAAATGGAATTACATGTTCATCAAGGATCTCTAGGAAATATCTGCGTGCATCAAGAACAGGTCTATGTAGAGGCACCAACTCTGTGCAGGCTTCAAAAGCTATACTTCATTTCACTATATCAAGTAACGTAATTACATTTGTAGCAAGTCATTAACACAAATGGATGAATATGACAGCACAGGCAGTTTGAAATTGAATAGTTAAAAAAAAAGGATGGTAACAAGAGAGATGAATGAAATGGAAAAAAACTGTACAAGATATGCATGAATTAGAGTATAATATATTGAATATCCAGTACTTCACTGAAAGGAAAATAATTCTTGGAAATTAGCATGTTGAAATTCTTCAAAGGAATGAAAACAGTATTTGAGGAGGTATTGCTTTATTTCCTCTTTGAATTTATTCAAGATAAGATTTTTCACTTGCTGAGGGAGTCTGTTGTTCAGATTGAATTTTGATGTATTTTTTTTTGAGATACAGATATTGTGAAGCTTGGTGTTTGAATTTGCATAGCGCTTCTAGTATTGTAGTTGTGAATATCACTCTATGTGATATTAGTTATTATTATTGAATTAGTGTATTTCTGTATAACTTGCAGCACATGAAAAATCAACAGAGTTAGCATGGGCATTATACGTTGATAGATAGATATATATCTTTTATTAGTTCTTTGTAATAAAAAACCTTTTCAGGTGTAGAACATGTCAATTACAGTTAACATAGAAGTAGTAGAAACTCATGAGGCAGTACCATTAATATTGGTTAAGAATATAAGAATATAAATGGCCACAGATGTATGAATAACAAGGTTATCACAGTCAATATACTTAATGTAATATTATTATAGTAGATACAGAACACGAACATATACATCCATATGTAGGGTTCAAAAGAGACTCAACTACATCACAGTGCAGAATGATGAATGATACGACATGAAATATTCAACGTGAACAACATCAGTTTAAATTATCATTGAAGAATTCTTCCAGCAAATAATAAGCTTTGGAGAAAAACAAAGTTTTTAATTTATTCTTCATGATAATAGAAGACAAAGTTCTCAGAGATTCAGGTATCTTTTTATGAATATTAATGATTGAAAAAGGTATATTTTTTTAAGATAGATCAAATATGTCTTAATATTCAAAAGGTTATTTTTGTTTCGTGTGTTGTGGGTATGGTTCCTGTCATGAGTCGCAAAAAGAGATATATTTTCTTTGACAAATACCACAGACTCATAAATGTAGAGACCTGTTAGGGTTAATATTTTTTTATCTATGAATATTTTTTAACAGCTTTCTCTCTGAGAAAGGTTGAATATTTTTCTGAGGCACCGTTTTGCAATATTAATATTTTCTGTGTATGTGCAGACATTCGCCAGAATATAAGGCCAAATCGGTTGTGACTCTGAATATAACATTATATACTAACATGGCAGCCTCAGTGGATATATTTTCAGGGCATAGCAGTACCTTGACATTTGTGTTGCCACTTTATCTATGTGGCTCTTCCAGTCCAGCTTTGAGTCAATTATAATTCCAAGAAAGGAAAGTTGGGTCCACTAGTTCTAAAGTAGTTACACCATAACTTAAAAGTATTATTTGTGCCGTTTTGGGTAAAAGATATGATTTGTGTCTTGTTTTTGTTCGGTTTGAGATTGTGTGACGTAAAGTACTCCTCCAGAATCTTTAGCTTTGGCTCAACAACTTCAGGCACAATGTTAGTGTAAAGAATGTATAGTAGTGGGCCCAACACTGACCCCTGGAGAACACCTCTTACAATATATAGCATTTCTGATTTCATTAGATTTTCATCAGTATCCCTTTCAGTGACACATTGCTGTTTATTTTTCAAATAGGATGTAATTAGTTCGAGTGGCAGCCCTCTGAAACCATACGACAGTTTTGTGATCAGTAGCCTATGGTCAACACTGTCAAAAGCCTTGGCCAAGTCCAGCTGTTGTAGCCTTTTTACTATTGATAGATTCAATTATCTTACATAGTACATTGTGTGATAAATAGAGGTTTGCAATGTTCTCTAGAAGATGAGTTAGGCATTATTCTAAAAGCTTTCTTCTGCTAGCTTAAAATGCTAATTGAGTGAGGGGAGTGTCGCCATAGAGTAACTCCATAGTTTATTTTGAAATTAAACAATGAAAAATATACAGAGAAGAAAAACAGAGCTTGCAAGTTTTTTCTCAATGCCTACACATGCTGATGCCAACCTAATTTTTTAGCCCTGGTATAATACGACTTATGTGTGAACATTACAATTTTTTGTGTTTTAATAAAATTTTATTTTGGTTTATTTTTCTGAAACCACTCATTAGTTCCATCCTGTAAAGAAACATAGTCTTTGATGAGTTCATATATGTGTATAAGGATAAGTTTCGTATTCAATAAAGATTCATTCATTCAACATATTCAAAATGATGAGTTGAGCTTAATAGAACTTGAAGTTTTAATTGATGAATGAACAATTTATAATAAAATTATGAATTAACTAGAAACTACAATTTTGCAGCCAGTATTAATAATTTACAATATAAATTATAAAAAAAATCAAAAGATATTCACCTGCTTCGTAACCAGTTCGACCCACTGCACCATCGTTGGCTTCTCCTTAGCGTGAATGAACGTCTCGATGAAGAACGTCGTCGACAGCTGCGCAGCCTTTTGCGTGACGTTCGGTTCGATGGGAGGCAGTGTCTGCGGGATGTACCCGCATATCTGCCACATGAAGTTGAAGTATGTGTGCTCAAAGATGTTCTTGTCCTCTATAAAATGCATGTTGTCGCGCCATATCCAATCCTCGAGTTCCTTACTGAGTTCGATCGTCGCGGCGGGCGAAGGGGCTCTCGAAGAAGTGGCCTCGTCAGCAGTTGATGATCCCCTGTCGACGGGGCACCGCTCATAAAACAGCATATAGGCACTGTTTGTCTTCTCAAAACTAAAGTCCATGAACTTGTCGGTGACGCTGTCATATGTCTTGCTCGTCATCTCGCCTCCAAAGCATTCGGCCGCGATTTGATTCGGGTCAAAGGGTTTTACTTCGGCATCGTTGAAGAGGAACCTGCAGGGTTTGATAGTTAGGTTTAAATTTTTCATATTGAAATTAAGTTGGTATTTGGTTGTTTCAAGAATAACAATGATAGATAATACATAAAAATATAATTCAATTGCTATCAATTTAACAAAGTCAAAAGAACTAATATACATATAAATCCTTAAAAAAACACACGACAACATAACATAACCAAAGAATATTGATGTAATGATATTTGTGTATAGTTTTTTTTAGAAAATTATCATGTGATATTTGGTTGAACGCTTTTCAGAATCTCATACAAAGTGTTACTTGAGATAATTATAATAAATATAATTATTCATAGAAAAAACACAAAAACTCAACTAGGTGTTATTGGTGTTGACATTTTATACTTGTGCGTTTTTGTTTTGAAGGGTATGAAAGGTTACACAATTTATTTGTTTGCACTAAAGAAAAAAGACATCAGAAGTTCAAACTGGGAGATATGAATTGTGCTAACTTTTAAACATAGAATAAAGTAAAGAAATTGTTTCTCAAAGTAATCTTAGTGATTATTTATATACAACTGAACGGGTACTGTGAGCTTCACTTATGGAATTATCAAACCAAATCACAAAACATGCACTCACTTAACAAAAGTATCATTGAGAATTACACACCCATTTCTCTGATATCTGAATATATATATGAATATATTGAACAAAAATGCTGTATCTTGATGCACGTTTCACTAACCAACTAACAATCATAAGAAAATCACTAAAACTACTTTTTACACCTATGTTATTGTTTTTATATGGATCTAGACGAAGTATTATTACCTTGCATAACGAGGAACATTAAATTAATTCCTAGTATTTTGTTATTGTTCCTATCGTTACTTACTACTCGACTAATACCCAATCTTTACCTATTTTGATACAGAATTTTGTTAAATTCCGAGTTCGAACTCGGGAATTTAGTAAAATAAAGAACATGTGTGGCCTTTCTACCATTTCGTAGATTTGTATCTACCATCATTGTTTTACAATCTCAGAGTTGAGACTACTGCTCTACCAAACTTCTCGCTAATGTGTATCGTATAAAGTTATGGATTTCTAACAACCCACACTTTGATATCAAGTGACGATCAATGTCTTTGTTGAAATTCATATCAAGTCAGGTGTTTTGTTTATAACTGATTAGGTATAGTTTTGATAAATGCAGTTTATAATTATCATAGTCGAAAATACTGACTGACAGCTATTTGACATGAAATAAGCTGACATTTTGATTTTTGAAAGTTTCACAATAAACTAGCAGCAGCAATAGTTAGTTCGAAAATGTGTCTTACAAAATTTCCAATTACAGCACTATTATTGCCTGAAAAATCAAATACAATACAACAGAAATAAGAATTAAAATGTTCGAAATTTTATTCTACAAAGAAATATAATAAGGAACTGTATATTTGTTTCACAAAGAAATATGTCTTATTGATTTGTTATTCCACAAATAGTGTACGCAACACGCCTAGAAACAGTTTTTTTGGACTCACGGTCTTCCAAGACTCATCTACGGCACGACCTAGAATTTTGTCTACTCGTCCAAAAAAGCAGTATTTTCTGAACTTGTTATGTAAATTACTATTTCATTAGAAACAATATTTTACTGAACTGTCATTTCAATGTTTAGGAATGATGTTTGAGAACAAGGCATAATTGGGAATAAAAAAATTTAAACACATCTGTCAAGTCCTGAATTTGCTCATCTATGTTAGCTTAAAAAAGTTACTACTTAATTCAAGAGAGTATCAACAATGTGTGATAATTTTGACAAAATTTATAACTCTTGTCATTTATTCTAGGATAGCTTGAAGCAAATTAAGCATGTCATGCAAAATCTGTAATATTTTACTGGTTTTTCTAAAACTGTACTTTTTGTTATCTATTTTTTTAGTAGCTTAACATTTTCAAACTTATACAATAAACTAACAATGATTCATTACATTCGCCATTATATACCACCCCTGTAGGTACTAACAGAAAAAGAGGTACTTGACTTGATTGAGTACCTGAGTTTACAGTTCACAATGCGGATGTGCCAATTTAAAAACCGGCGAGTAAACTGAATCGATTTGATCATTTAACAGGTTGCACCCGCAATGTTTATGCTTGTGAATTTCCAAGGATTCTAAATAATTGAGTTTGCAACCCTTCCTGGCATAGTGCAGAATTTCCGTATCATTTACATTCGGAAACTTGTGGTTGCATGCCAAGGAATGGTTTGAAAACGTTGTGGTTGCATGCCATAATTTCTTTTAAATTTGTTTCTGGAAACCCAAGCCTACAGAATCATTTCATCAGAAATAAGACGTGCACCAAATTCTTGGGATTATGGATTGATAATATCCTGAAGTTTGATGAACACGTAAAACATCTCAACATAAAACTTGCACCTGGTTGCTACTCTTCTATCAGGGTCATCACCAAGGAGTTGGGAGTAGTAGCAGGAAAAACATATTTTTCATTAGTTGAGTCTCAGAACCTTTGAGGTTAAATCAACTCATTTATTTTATGTAAACATGTAAATCAATTCTCAACTGCTTTGTAAAATTTCATGTCCTTTCTACGTGTAAGTGTAAGACCTTGTATTCTTCCATGGTAATTCAATTAATTTACTGTAAATTGATTGATTTATTTTATTTATTTATGCTTTGTCAGTAAAAATTTTTTTTCTTCGACAATAAAGAACATTTTTTATTTGATTCGATTATTATTATTATTATCATTAATATGATACCATCACCATATTAGAATTTTAATTGATTATGTTTGATCGTAATATCAAATAATCAAATCAAATAAAAAATTACAGACCTATAGCATTACTATCAAATATTAGTAAGATTTTTGAAAGAATCATATATAATCGCCTTATATCCTACCTTGAAACATTCGAACTATTAAGTGATACACAAAACGGTTTTCGAAAGGGTAAATCGACAACAAGAGCAATATATCAAGCTTTATGTTCAGTCATAAATAGTCAAAACAACAAGAAACATAGCTTAATGATTAACTTAGATCTTTCAAAAGCTTTTGACAATGTCAATCATAAAACATTGCTAAATAAATTTCAGAGGAAAATAAAACATCTATCTATCAATTATCTACCTATCATATATCCAATGGATCATTGCCTACTAGGAGGACGAAACTAGAGTTCCACTAAGTTACCCAAATGATTAACGGTCATATAATTGTTACTTTTCCAATAATCATAGTTAAAAGAATATCATTTACATACCATTTGTCGCGCGATCCCGCCGTCCGGTCCTTGATGAAGCTGTAGTAGTGGCCGCCGTCCGCAGTGCCAGTGTGGACTGTCACACCTATTAGATCGTACTCGTACTGCTCAAACTCGGCGTCGTTCGATTTCTGCTTCTCCTCTTGATAGTGCTGTGGCATGAGTTGCTTCTCAACATAGCCGGCCATGTTCAAGCGCAGCGGGAACGAGAAGTGGGTGTTAACCTAAAAAAAAAAAATATTATATATTGTTTCACCCAATCATTTAATCAATAATTTCCTGTCATAAAGAACATGGAATTCTTTTGGAAAAACCACCCGTATAAATAAAAATACTGAATACTAAAAGCTACAATTAGTCAGCCAACATACATGAAACAAGAAAACAGGTAAAACAAAGGGTTCTGGCACATTCGTATGAAGGAGAAATGAGTTTAAAATACTTAGAAATGAAAAAAATAATTCAATTAAAAGGTATCTGCATAAAATCCTTTCAAAGTATAATACGGACGACTACACAGCAAGAAGTAAACAGCCTTTTTAAAATCATCTAAGGAGTTAATTTCTCTAATGAAATCAGGTAAATGATTGAACATCTTTCAACCATTATAAATAATATAGTCCTTCACTAAAGTAGAGATAGTCTGGGTAAGTTAATACTGTTTTGCTTGCGTGTAGGAGAGCGGTTAGCCGTATTGAATTTATTCAGATGTTTTTTAATCAGACAAACTGTCTGCTATGAATATGCTATAATCATGATGCTTTGGCATGATATTATTATTGCGTGATCCCCAAAATGGGGAACCGTATATAGTGGTGTCATCTGCAAAAATTGTAAATGTACCCGAGATATCTATTCTCATCAAATCATTAATGTATAATAAAAAAATGGTGGGGCCCAGCATGGATCCTTGTGGTACACCACAGTTAATCAGTACTTTATCAGAAACGGACGAAGTTTACATTGGTTGAATGCAGGATTGAATAATAATTGACAATTCGAAAGTATCTACAGTACATTCGCTGAGGATACGTCTATCTGGACTTATTTAACACAAGATTTCAAAGCGAGTGGATATAACTATTTATAGGTTTTTCGTGTTAAGTGTGGAACAAAAAATTTGTGTGTTTGTTCAATAAGTTAAAGTATCATTCAAGTATCAATGAAATTATTTTGAATATTTTCAACTATTTTACTTTAGAAATGAACAATAGCAGACCTCTTAAGTATTTACTATAAGGTCACCAGCGGGAACAAGTGTACTGATCGCTATCTGTACATGAAAGATATTTAAGAAAAACCATCATTGAGAGACAATTCTATAAAAGATATTGAAACATGTAGGATTCTAATATAAGAAGGGACAAAAAGGCTTTGTGTGAAAAAACAGCAATAGTTCAAGCAGAACAATTTTCGCTTCATATTTATGGATGAAACCTGGACATTTTTCAAATGTAATCCTTAAAAGAATTTGGCAAGATGATAACATGAAATCGATCAAACATAGTGACAGCAGTACTGAAAGTAAAAATTTATGTGCCCGTTCCAATTCAAAATCGCTTCTGGCAGTTGTATCGCCAACAACATGTGCAAGAATTGCTTCTATGAAGAATCCTGCACTGACACCCGTCGGATATAATCAAATGCCCTTTGTGGTATTAGCCAGAGGAGTAGTTGTTTTCTGATAGGTATCAGTTCATTAACCTACAGTGTCAGTGGGCATACTTGAAGACTGGCTATAAATCAAATCATCTAAAAGAACAATTCGTTCAGGCCAGTCTCAACACCCTACACGGTAGGTTAATGGACTGACACCTATCAGAAAATAACTACTCTCCTGGATAATACCACGAAGGGCGTTGGTGTCAGACACCTGTCGGATATAATCCAGGTGTCTGACACCTGACACCTGGTCTTCAGCTCATCAAGTATCGGCCAGTTCTATTCAATAGTTGAGATAACTTCAAACATTCTCAACAGAGAATAGCAGAGATGCTAAAAAACATTAACTTATGAAAAATTCCTTCAAATGTGTTTTAAATAATATGCAACAATCCATTTTTCAAAGTTAGAGGTGCAGATTTGAAAAGCTTCATTCCTGGATAAAACAGACTATTCTCTTACAGTGATGTGTTATATCTAGAAAGCCGTAGGTAATAGTCATGTCTGGTACAGTAATTATGATTTTTGTTGTTTTGATTAAAGAGTTCTAAACGAGTTCTCATGAAAATAATGTACGCAAACATAAATATATGAAGGAATGTTAAAATTATGTGTTCACTAACTATTTTCTATATGAGTCTCTCGGACGGAGACCGAATATTGGTCTGATTATTCTTATTTGTATGATGAAAATTCGCTTGGCATAACAGTATTGCTCCACAATACAATATGACAAGAAACAGAGCATAATATAGATTTAAAAGTTGTGATGTATTGAATATGCTTTCAAGTTGAAGAATGGAGTAATATCTCTTTGCAGATGATTTAAAATTTTTTGATGAAGTTTGCCTTTTGCGTAATTCAATGTTTCAATTAAAGTACTTGTTTTGAGAAGGCTTTTTCTTCGTTTGTGTCTTGTTTGCATGATCTACACATCTTTGTAGAGTTTATTTTGAAATCGATTGCTCTCTGCCTTTCTTTGGAAGTTTCCCACATTTTTTGTATGAAGATACAGAAGTAGAACATCACAACCTTTCTTTACAATAAATCAATCTTTCCTAAAAACATACCCCTATCAATTTAATTTTATATTATTCCATAGTTAGATTCATTGTTATGCCAATATTTTTGAGTGACATATTTCTGTTGAGATTAATGTCTCAATTTAATTTCAATTTATTTCCATTTGACACCTAGGGGAGACCGGGGCAAGATGAAGTTCGGGGCAGCACGGGAAGTAAGCTTGTGTGCGTGAATAGTAATCGTGTTTGGAGCGGCGACAGCGCCATTTGCACGAACTTCACTCTCCGCTAGTGTGTCCAAGCAGAGCGAACAGGTTAGAACTCGTTTTGCGTTGCAGAGAGAAAAAAGTGATATTGCAAGTGTTTTTACGCGATATTTGATTCGAAAACTGATGTAGACATGTAAGTACCTGTGTTAATGTATTATTTCAATGCCGAGCTTATTATAGTAGTCCAAAACATCAAATTCAAACCAGATTTTTTCGCTGGTAAAGTTTGAGGTTAGAATTGCGTCATCTTCTTTACCTACGTGTGGATCGGGGCAAGATGATCGGAGCATAATGGGATACTATAATCAAGACTGATAATCAAGTGACTGAAAAAGGTAAAAAACAAATAAAGACACCTGGAAAAAAGACTGCAAAGAAGATTAAAAAGACAACTGACAAGGAAAACCTGCAGAAAAAGCGTCAAACCAAAAGGTGCAAAGAAGAAACTGAATCGGAAGATAGTTCATCCCAAGAAGAGGATGATGACTGTGCTTGCATCTATTGTGGGTACTTATACTCAGATTCAACCGAAGGTTGGGTCATCTGCGGCGTGTGCCACGGTTGGGCGCATAATTCATGTGCCGGAGTAGATGAGGAAGATGAAGAGGCACACATTTGTGAACGCTGTCTACCCGATTAAAAAGCGTACTCGTTTTGCCCCACAGCGTTTCCCATCTTACCCCAGTTATGGGGCAAAACGGGAAATTTGCAGAGTTTATTTTTTCATTATTTGCCAAAAAAAGTTGTGTGATTTTGCATGCTACAACGTTTAATTATATGAGAGAAATGTATAATGGTTACCTCTTTTGTTAAAGAATGTTATTAAAGAGTTTAATTTTCCTTGTATAACGAGTTTTGTCTTAGCTATCTCATCTTGCCCCAGTCTCCCCTACATAAAAACAAGTCATTTAAAAGCTAATAACACATTACAAGAGGTAAAAAAGATAAGTAAAATTGACTTAAAATTGGGTATAAATAAAAGGGGACTAAATATCACTAAAATGAAATAAATGAAAAAATTTTCAATACCGACTTTAACAAAAACTTACCTTCTCTTTGAGCATCGTCAGCATATTAAAAGTGTAGCGCATCGTGTTGAAGCATAGAATATGCGGCAGCTTCTTGAAGCAAGCCCTCTTTTCTGCTCGGACTTTCTTCCCACACTGTGAACATGTGTACATGTTGTCCCCTTCGAGTGTATCCTTCACGGTCACCTCGTCTAGTGATTCGTACAGATTCCGCATATCCGCAACCTGGCAACGCACCGTGTAAAATTCCTCTAGCGTTCGGCTGACATGGTCGCAATCCAACGAAACCACATTGTTGCTGATTACACCGCAAAACAAGTTCTTTATTACCTCCTTCAGATCGGGCGTCATCTCCTCTAGCTTGCTGACCAAATCGATAAAAAATTCTGCCATGTCTTTCTGCTCGGCTGTGTTCAGCGGTTGATGGTCCATCGTGTAGACTTTGCAGAAACTGCGCGGGTTGTATGCCTTTCGCTCACTTTCTAGCAGGTAAGCAAACATCCTTTGAAGCTCCCTAAGGGTAGGTTCATGTTTCGCTTGGTCGGTGTTAGCGGCCAAGATAGAGGCCCGAGCTTGCGGCATCATGTAGAGGTGTTGCATGCATGAAGCCATATAACAAGTTGCACCAAGGTTGGTCAAACCTAAAATGAAATTAAATTTGATTTAATGGGAAATAGTTCATTCATTCAGTATCTAGAGAAAAGATTTCCAGGTTTTTAATATAAAGCATTGAATATAAATAGAACTTCCTTCAGTAAGTTCATCAAATGGTAAGGGTAGGAGTTGAATATAAGAAAAATTTTGGAGTTATAGATTGATAAGTGAAACTACTGTAAAGTATATCATCCACCACTGGTGGATGCTGGGATGTGCTTTTGTTCAAGAAATTGTTGTAGATGAAGTTCGGTAGTTCTGATGTTGCCGCAAGATGGTGCCAATAGTCAAAATTATGTTGAAAATACTTTTTTTTCAGAAACAAATATTCAAGGTTACCATAAAAAATGCGGGAGTTGACATATTATAATCGTGTCAAATTTGAAAATTCATTTTTGCTGGCAATCAATATATTTGTTCTGTTGTTCCAATCTATTAGATTTTTCATCTTATTGAAACATTTCACTCCTACATATTTCGGGGAATTTTGACCAATGAGAAGTCTGGAGAAAGGCAGATGAATATTTTCCTTATTCCTTGTATCATGTGCATGTATTTGGTCATTCTTCAGAAATGTTTTTTCATTGACCTTTATAAAAAATATGTAGAGGCAGGGTAACGTTAGTATTTTAGAATTTTGGAATAGTGGCTTACAAGATTCTGAAGGGTGAGTTTTACTCATAGCTCTGATGATTTTTTTTTGGAACGAAAAGTATGTGAGTTGGAGGTCCCCAAAATATTATCCCATATTGCATAGCGGACTTTGCCAATCCGTAATAAAGAATTCTCAGTACTTCAGCTGATACTGTATCCCTCGGATTCCTAATAGTGTATGTGATTGTACTAAGTTTTGAACATAAAGTGGTGATATGGTTTTCCCATGAAAGTTTCCTAAAAAGCACAACACCTAAGAACTTCATACTCTTTACTTTCTAACGATTTTCCATTGACTGTTAAGTAGAGATCATTATCAGGATTCGTATTTTTTGATAAGAATCGAATATGATAGGTCTTAGCAGTGTTTAGTGTTAGTCCATTTTTACTACAATAATCACTGATTTCCTCTGATACCTCATTTCCATTCTTTACTAGTTGTTCATTATTTGTTTTAGACATTTTATTGAAATAATAAAATTGATTCTCGTTCCACTACTGGTCAATCTCCATATAATGTTGATAGGCGCACTCAGTTTTTGTTAATCTTTTTCAAGATTGAGTCATTTTCACCAAAAGTTATTCGCTGTCTCTTGCTCCGCATTCAAAAAAATTATTAAAAGAAATCGGGAAACTTTCATTCATTTGCATACATAACCTGAAATAATATTTCATGTAAGTGTCAACACAATTCACATCTACCTCTCAGTTTACATAATCACGTTGTAGTATACGCAACACAGTCAAGTTAAACAAATAGCGATATTAACGGTTTTTAAGCAGCCTACGTAAATTAAATCAAGTAGGCCATTCTACATAAATGACTCGATGCACCAGTGTTTACTGTCTAGACTCGACCTTCTAATCAAAAGTATTAATGGGCCCAAATCAATCATTATATCAGTTTTCAGGTAATGGGATGTAAAACAAAATAATAATATTGAAAAACTGGAAAAATAACCAGATGTAGGCTGTTCACGATAAGAAGAGAATGACGTCATTTTTGGTAATTTTGTATATCCAACATAACAACGTTAAAATTCCCATTGAAATGCGTTCAACAGCAATGAAACTAGTAACATTTAATTTTGTAAGTTGCTCAACTGATAGTAAAATTTCAGACGTTGCCGAATCGAAAAAAACTCGAAAACTGTCAGTCTTTCTTTTCATATCAGAACTAATCATTTCTTTTGATAAGACCTGCGTATATTCAATATGCCTAAAGCATTGTCGAAATAGTCCCAACAAATACTAAAAGTAAGTAAGAATAAAAGCAATAAAACATATAAACAGTACAAACAAATTTGAAAGTTCGAAATAGTGTATATGTTGGCAACACCGTAACTTGTCATCTTGTGATGTCATTTTCTTCTTAACGTGGACACACTACATCTCCGGACGAAGCGACTATTGTATAACATCCGTTATGCAATAGAAGGAGACTGGTCTACTGTGCCGAAGGGAAGCAAAGACCATAAAAAACGAGAAGAAGTAGAACGTGAACATTTCTGGTAAAATTTATACAGGATCTCTAAGCATACAGTGGAATATGAAAATTATTTCCAATGAAGCTCAACAAGATCTAAAATTAATTAAAACAATTCTGAAGACTATCGAGATAAGAAACATACATATAGGAAAATAAATATTTTGAATTAGTTTGTTTATATTAAAAAATATTGGTAAAGAAAGGAAATGAGATGTTAATATTATTAATTTTATTTTTGGAAATATAAGATGATTCATAAAAATTCAAGGTTAATTTTTGTAACTGAAGCTACATTGATATTATACTTAGATCATTTTGAACATGTTCATGCATGATTTTACTGAAATATAATAAGGTTGTTTCATCAGCATAAAGTTTGATCTGTCCCCTTAGTTTTAAATTTAATATTGAGTTTATATGAATTGAAAAAAGTTTTGGGTTACACCACAAGTAATAAATCGTGTAGACTGTAGAGCTTTGACTGCCCTCAATTTTCACAAATTGTTGTCTGTTTTCAAACTATTCCAAAACTTTTCTTTTGATACCAATGTTGAATCATTTTTTCACTAATATTTTATGTTCGACTGTATCAAATCTTTGCACAAGTCTAAAGATACAAAGCAGCCATTTTGGTTATCATCTATTTTTTTTGAATATCTAATAATTTCTAAAACAGCCAATTCTGTATTCCTAGCGTTTCGAAATTCATACTAAAATTCATGATTTTTTCTGCTATTTTTGAGAATACCGGTAAATCATAAATTGGCCTATAATTGTTCAAGCACGTCTTCTGGCCATTTTAAAATTTTGGTGGATACTAATCATCTTCATTCTTCTTAAAATACTTAACACATATTTTGAAAAGCTCTGCTTTATGTCAAAACATGGTTTGGAATCTTCTTTAATTTCAAATCTTTTGGTATGACAACAATCATCAAACATTTTTATAATATCAACACAGAGGATGTTCATGTCCGAGGAAGAATGCATATTTTTTAATAACGAATTCAGTGAACCTTTCAATTTTTTTTCAAGTCGAAATATTTCACATCATTTTTGATTTGACAATTTTTGTGAATAATTTACAGGAACATCAAATATTTGAATATAATGATCACTCAATGGACTAGGATTTTTAGTTACAGTTGCAACTTTTTTTTTTTTTAATTCGACAATATGTGATCTATCAGACTTACACTCTTGCGTGTGACTCTTGTTGGAATATTTTTATTGACCAGCTCGAAACCCGTCAAAGAATGAATATCCATGATCCTAATTTCATTTATACAATTTTCATTTAGAATATTGATATTCATATCCCCAACAACCAAATAATCATCATATATTTGATCTAGTTTTAGTAATTATTATTATAATAAAGGATCTTCTTGGAAAAATTATATGCTATCTATTAGTATCACAATGAGTTTTATAGATAATTCTCTCTCAATATTCTCTGAAAGTGCTTCAGTCAAAAGTCTGTATCAACTTTAGCAGAGTTTAACTTTTTTTATGTCCGTAATACCAGTTATAATGACTTCTAACAGTTATTTTCATTAGTGGGGAATATATTTATTATACCTCCTATTATGTTTGTAATATACACTTAAAAAAGTTCCTTGAGGTGTTTGAAAGCAGTGTCCACTGATGTTCCGAATAGAGTGCTAATGAAACAATAAAGAAGAGGGTATGAAAAAACTTACCGACATAACCGCACTCTGATCTGCCGTCCTCGTGCGGCCAATAATCCCAGGGATAGGGTGAATTCGGTCCCGGCTGGTGTTGTTGAAGCAGTTTCTGGTGCAAGGCCGCATAATTCTCAGGGGAACCTTTCACTAGTTCTACAAGCAGATCGAAGGCGGCTGTCCTTGAACGAGGTGACTTGCACTTCGGCACGTGCCGTAGTTTTGGGTTTGGTAGGGCGAATAAGAATTCAAACACCTCATCGAGTAGGTCACGGCCCCCTTTGTCAGTCTGGAAGGGAGGGCGGTGCTTCAGCAGGTTGGCGATGAGGTTCAAGAGACCGATTAGACCGTCGTCGTCGACCGTACGATGCCTGGTTTCAAGATAGTCTCGCGAGAGGACTGACATAGTCAGTTTGTTGGCCAGTCCGTTAATGTCGATTATGCAGTTCTGGGGGTCTTCAAGACTCTCTTTCACCAAGTCGTCGGGAAGGCTATCCACGAGACGGGAAACGAGCCAGAAGTAGTCCCTGCACGCTGGTCCGTAGGGTTCCTTACCTTCCTCAGGGGCTTGAAGAGCCTGGGGAAAATAAAATATGCTTAATATGGATGATACACGAGCAAGACTCTGCTCTAAAAATATACCTCTAGTTTTTGAGGGCGCATACTTTCGGCTTTCTCCAGATAGAGCAGCAGTTGGGACAACATGGGAGCTACCAAGCTGCTTTCCATGGGTTCACGATTTGCTGATATGCCTAAACATAGTCTATAGATGGCAGAGCACGCTTCTCGTCGCACAGCTGGTTCGGGGTCTTCCAATACCTAGATACATAGATCAATCAATAAATCTTTTACTAAATCTCGAAAACCATAAATATTCATAACAGAGATCTTGACTGAATTTATAATATAAAATTATTACAGGAAATGAGTTACTTCTAAATACAAATCATATAATATATCTCCATATAGTGAAAAACTAATCATGTTCAACAGTTTACCTTTGGAATTGAAGAAGATAAAAGCGATGCATACAAGGTGTGTTTACAGTTCAGCGGTTTAGCATGTTTAGTTTGTTGGTGAGAGGCATAAAAGTTTTGTGTTATGCGTGTTCAGCAATTTTTTGATATCGAAAATGATGGATCGAACAATTTTTATCGAGTTTTGTGTAAAAATGGAATTTAGTGCTTAAAAAAACACTTGGAATGTTGGCATATGGTAATTGTACTCTTGAGTCAGAAAAATGTTTACAAGTGATACAAGCTTTTCACAGAAGGTCGAGAAGGTGTGAACGACAACGTTCACTCTGAAGCCCCAGCACATCAACAACCGATGAAAATGTTGAGAAAGTAAAGAAAATTGTTATGAAGAATCGTCGAATTACTAATGGAGAAGTTGATGAGGATGTCGGTATATCGATTGGCTCATACCATGCAATTTTTTTCGAAAATTTTGGGGATGAAGTATGTGGCAGCGAAGTTCGTTCCAAAATTGCTGAAGTTTGACAAAGAAAAACGTAGCATGAGCATCGCCCAGGAATTGTTGAATAACGTCAGCCATGATCCAGATTTGCTTTAAAGGGTCATAACTGTTGACGAATCATGGGTATATGGTTATGACACCAAAACCAAAGTCCAATCGTCCTAATGGAAGAGCCTGTGAGAGCCAAGATCAAAAGAAGCACGCCAAATTCGATCAAATGTTAAGGTTTTGCTCACATTATGAGGAGAACTGAATTATATACATATTTTTTATCAGTTCTCAAAAAGAAGCAATCAATTTCATTTAGTGCAAAAAGTTCTACAAAAAAAATAAGAGGCAACATTTTTTAGGACTCTGATCAAATTCCGAGAATTTTTCTAATATTTTTAGATGGTTTTTGAGATAGTGAACACTAACAAACACACACGATATTTTTTTGTATTGATAAATTCCAGAATAAATGAAATATACGATTACTTTTACTATACTAATGAAAAGTACGAATATCATTATACGAGGGTTGACTTTTATATTTCGGGATAAGAGACCAAAAACAAATATTAATAATCGAAAATCACTTTATTGTTTTCCAAAATATTCCCCATGAAGATCTATAAACTTTTGCATGTGTTTGAACCAATTGTCGAAGCACTTTTGCCACTCTGATTGAGGTATCTCCAAAATATGCATTCTGAATGCATCAACTGCTTCTTCAGGTGTCGAAAAATATTGACCTCTCAGTTTTACGTGCAGGAATAAAAAGAAGTCATTCGGTGCCAAGTCAGGACTATACGGCGGATGACTCATCAAATCAATGTTTTGGGTACTCAAAAATGCAGTTGTTTGAGCCGATGTGTGAGAGCTCGCATTGTTGTGGTGAAGAAAGATCCGTCTTCGGCGGTTGGTTTTCCTGATTTCTTGGAAGACAACTGGCAAACAAATGATTGTGTACCACTCAGAATTGACTGTTCTGCGTTGTTCTACTGGTACTGTTGCTACATGTCCAGTTTTTCCGAAAAAAATAGATGACCATTTGCTTGGGAGTACTTCGTGTGCGTACAACTTTTGTTGGATTTGGCTCCTCTTGAAACACCCATACAGTCGACTGCTGTTTACTTTCGGGCTCATACGCGTAAATCCACGATTCATCACCTGTCAAGATGTCATAGACGTGTTCCGAAGCACCACAATCGTATATTTTGAGCATTTCTTTTGACCAATCGACACGAGCCTTTTTCTGATCGATTGACAAATTGTGTGGGATCCAACGCGAACAAATTTTCTTGACAGTCAAATGTTTATGCAATATTGAATGTATGCTGGTCCCACTAATGCCTAAGGTTGTCTCAATCTCACGATAGGTCACATGACGATCTTGCAATATCAGTTCGCGCACAGCATCAATGGTTTCCGGAACAACAACTGATTTTGGACGACCTTCATGAAATTCGTCTGGGAGTGAACTGCGACCACGATTGAATTCTCCATACCATCGATAAACACTGGTCCTCGATGGAGCTTCATCGCCAAAAATGGAATTAAGTTCATCCATGCACTGTTGCTGAGTTAATCCACGTCGAAAGTTGTAAAAAATAATACCACGAAAATGTTCACGGTTTAATTCCATTTTTGGGTCGAGATGAATCTTTTAAGTTACTGTAAACAACACAAATAGCGCGTGTATGTCAAAACGTTCTGAGTACGTATAAGCTCAAAAATGTCCAACTTTACGATATATAACATAAAAGGCAACCTATCGTATTCCTTTTTTTTTTATTATCAAAATATTTCATAGTTTTGAAGAATAACTTGAAAACTCTAACTGAATCAGTTCTAATTCTCGAAACTAACCAACATTTTTGTATATTTTTTATGGTTTACATAATTTTCACGAAAATTCAAAAATTGTTTCTCATATTAATGTATAAGACAGATCATTTCATTATGATTTCCAACATGTTGAACAACTACAAATAAAAGTTTCGAATGAACAGTCCACTCTTCTATTTCTTTGTGCTTGCCCTCTTCAGATCGAATCAGGTTCTTAAAGTTTGGTAGAGTTTTACGTTTACCATCTTACATACCAACAATACATATCCAACAATAATGTGACCTCCAGGATCATACAAATCAAACATGGTGTACCTCAGGGTTCAGTCCTAGGGCCACTGTTGTTTATAATCTATATGAATGATCTGCCAACCTTCTTAGACATCGCAGATGTATTTATGTATGCAGATGACTCAACTTTTTTAATCAGAAGCAGGAATTTAAAAGAGATCGATAGAATGTCAATATTTTATCTTGGAATAAAAACAAAACTAAAGAAATAACTTTCTCAAAAAATACAGCAAATGATTCATCAATCAAAATACTAAGATTTCACATAGATTTCATCCTGAACTGGAAAGAACACATTCAGGAATTGCAAAAAAAGCTGTCCAGAAGTCAATTTTTATTTAAAAATCTCAGAAAAATAGTATCAATTGAAGTGCTGAAAACTGTATATTACGGTATGGTTCACTGCCACTTAATGTATGGGATTTTATTATGGGACACAAGCTCAGAGCGCCACCAGTTATTAATAAATAAAAAAAAATTGTTAGAACTATGGCTAAGGCTGGACCAAGGGAACATGCCAAACCATTGTTCATCAAAATGCAAATTTTAACACTCTCATGTATATATATCACAGAAGCCATCTTGTGGATACACCAAAACAAAAATGCGAACACTACGGGGAGTGAAATTCATAAGTACAATACCCGCAATAAAGAATTGTATAGAGTACCTCGAGTGAACTACACTAAAACAATGATGCAGACTGACTATCTACCAATTAAACTATATAACCTTATACCGGTGGATTGGAAGACATTCACTACAAAAAAATTGAAACACTACTTAAAACAATCACTTCTTGTAAATCCACTTTATAATATTGAAGATGTTTTTTTCCATATTTGGACTTAATATTTAGTACTGTCTATTTAACGTACTACCTTACATAAAGCCTAGTTTCTAGGATTATTTCATTTTTACAGTTTTACATAGCTTTACAAATTTTATTTACATAGCTTTACAAATTTTATATACATTTTTATATCTACACCTCAGTCTTGACGTACCACAATTATGTTGTGAATTTATCTCATAAACATTTTTGTAATTTTTAAAGGTCAATAAATATCTTATCTTATCATCTGACCTGAAAAGTTATTAGGTATGAGCCAAAATAAACCCTGGAGGGTTGTGGTAGTGTGTTGAACAGACTTACACACTTTGGATCTAACCTAACCTGACCGACTCTTCTATAAGAAAAGCATAGTTTTGTTTGATTTGTTTCAAAATAATAAAACAATCAATCGACAGTTTTTGATATTTCCAAGAAAATCAAGAACAATGAAAAATTGTTATATTGTTTTATATGCAGTGTAGTCATAGTATTCACATTATTGGTATTTAATTATTGTTTGAAAATATTTTCAGAAGAACGAAACTATCATATGTTCTTTCAAGTATCTTAGAAATTTGATCTGTCAATATAGATTTTTTTCATCTTCATCTTATAATATGAAATTAACTTCGTTATATCTCATAAAATTACTATTAAAAACTTTTTTTGAGTCGAACCATAAGTACTATTAGAAGAATGATTGTAGTATTCTCATTAATAGTATGTAAATATATAAAGTTGAGTTCACTGTAAATAATATCCAGCCTACTTCATATTTATATAATTGGTAACCAATGATAATTTTTGTAAAATTTTGCGGTTTAAAATTGAATCCACTACTATTCGGTCGTTTCCTTATTTACAGGTGAAAGATCGCCTGTTTCAAAATGTTGTAAGCTCTTCAACTTTTATATAATAGCTTTCATAAAACTACAGTTGTTCAATAGCCTCTTCTTAGTTTTATAAAATAGCAATTGTTTTCGTTACATTCAGTCTACTCATGAGCTTACGACTAAATGCTATAATCTAATGCAATTATTCTTCCTATTCAACCGAAACAAATCAATTATCTCACCAATCTCTGCAGCCAACCAGAAAAATTAGGCGACTGGAATAACTCTGTTGTCAGATGATAAAAATAATAACACAATAAATTTAAACTTTGAATTAAATTTCTTGTTGCGAGGGCTGGTCACACGAAAACAAAGCAGGGTTGTTAAAAAAATACATCACCATTTTAGAAAATTGCAAAGTCCTAGAGAAGCCTTCTAAAATCATGCTGCTGAAGTCTTCCAAAATCATGTTTTTGAGTTATCAATTTCAGAGTGAAAACAATATTTCAAAAATTGATGCAAAGGTGGATGAATTTGAAATTCAAATATTTAAATGAAAAACAACAGTTTGTTACAAAAATGTTTACCAACTTTTGGTAAAAACTAAAAAAAGGTGACACTCGTATAAGTAATTCAAAACCAAATTAGAGGTGAACTTGAGACCTAATGGTGCTGAACGACAAGGAAAATTCACCATCCTCTTTCAATTCATTATAATATGCATTTTGTAACATAGACATAGCTAACCATCGTAGACGGACTACTCTCAAACGACAAATGTCATTTACAAAACTGATAAATTAAACTTTGACAGCTGAATAACAAAAAATATTCTAAACAAAAAAAATTACAAAAGGCAGTATACAAAGTCAGACCAATTTCTGACATACTCCCACCATAATCCCAGTTTCGGTAGATGAGACTTGACTTCAAATTGGGCTCAGTTCTACGTAAGAGTAAATCTTGAAGGAGGTTTTACTCTTCTTTCCCAGTAGTAACGATTTCTTCTGTGGGTCTTGTAGATACTATCGATCATCTTCGTTATGCACAATATGTCAAGCTAACAAAGCTCAATAAACCTGTGCAGTTATCAAATATCCCATTAACAAGTGGAGCAGCTCACCAACATTTCAATCGTGTTTATGACCAAGTTCAAACTTGGTTAGGACATGATTTGGAACCCCAGGAATGGGGTTGGACAATGAGTAACGGATTGCTGCTCCAGATGAGTTACTCAATACGATATTCTGTAACTGCAAAAGTGATTGTGGTTAAAGATGTGGATGCAGGAAAGCGGGGTTGCAATGCTCTTTAGCTTGTATAAACCTTAAATGAGCTGATTTCGATCGGGACAACCAGCTGATTTCAAATAATATGTCATCTGCGCTCGCGCTGCCCTCTATCTCAAAAAGGATTCAACGTATGAAAAAATGTTTGAAACAAAAGTTGTAGAGAATTTAATTCTCTACAATATTGATTATAAATACAATTAGCATAAAACCCACTGGAAACGAGATACTGGCAAAAAACGTGCAAAAAGTCGTTTTTTTTTTACTTTTGATCCCCAATTTTTGAAGTTGCGGCCGTCGAATCATATGTGAATTTTGAGAATACTTTTATGATGCCAAAATACAAAATTTATACAAATTTACAGTTGGGTGTGTCCACTTTGCTAGGCAAACCCCCTAAAATGACTGGCCTATCATCAAATTGTTCTTTTTGTTTTCACTCCTTTATAAGAAATTGTCTGCTTCCTCAAACCCCTGTAGAGATAAATTTCCATTTTTTAATTTTTTCAAGTTGATACAGTTGAAAAGGAATCTCAAAATCCATCCATTGAAATTTACTATCTTTGGATATTTCGAGAAGTATTCGTAAACAGTTGAAAAACCATAAGAATTACAAATTACACATCTTTAAATATTTCATCAATAATTATAAGAGTTACTATGTTACCAAGCACGTAAAATCTCTTCTGGAAAGCACAACTCTACCAACGGATATAAAATGGCTGCACATTTATCTGAGGTAATACCTAATGTTTCCATTGAGATCAATTGAGATTCCATTCTATCATATGAAGCATTCAAATGTACTTTATCAATCATATTATTCAAAATCTATTTTGAAAGATCTTAAATACAGTATTTCACTAGCGAAATTTCTCTACTAAATCAAGATTGTACACGTTGAATAACCTTTGGATAATTGTTCGAGATAGGCAGAAAAACGTTCAACTGATTGACGTACTCTCTGGACTTATAAAAAACAAATGTACAGAGTCAGACTGATTTCTGATACACTTTTTCCCATAGATGACATCTACTCAAATTCCATTTATGACTGTTTAATAGGAAAAATAGTTTTATTTTTTATTCAATACCAATAGAAGAGTGTAGTTGTTTCAGATAAATTATGTCATTTGGTTTGTATCTGAAAGAAATTTTCATAGGGGATTTGCATATATCCTTAAACGTTTTCCATTGTTACCTCTAATATTTCAAAATAACGAACTTTCAACTACTTCGAGAGGCATTTTAGCACATATAATAAATTACTGATTGGACTCACCCCGCCTTTAACTTGGATTTTCATGGAGCTCAACGTGTGCATCAAAGAAAACAGTTGTTCGAAATAATTCGGTTGAAGGAGCAATAACGTCGGGAGGCACTCCCTGGGTGGAGGTGGTTGCACTGAAGGAGAGTCCAAGCATTCCCTCTTTTTCATGTTTCTAGACATACCCACCGAAATATAGACCATCTGAAATGAACATTGATAATGAGACGTAACGTTAATGGATGCTAGCGCTGAAATTTTACGTGGTTGTCTTTAAATCCCATTTCGGCTAAGGTTTTTTCCTCACAATCGATGGTCAATTCCTGCCCTTGGGTTATGATCCTGATCCAAGTATCGCCGGTTTTCGTTTTGTTATTTTCACTAGTTTCATTCTTCATCTGAAAACTTCAGACTATAGTTACAATATTCAGGAAATGTGCCTTCCAACGTGGTACCTCAAACTTGGCACATTGTAATACATTACCTGTTGGATCCCTTCGCACCACTTCACTATTTCCGCCCTGAGATCTGCGACATAGTCAGTATTGAGCATATCCAGAAAACACCGTTCTGTAGAGCTACCAGACTGTACAATAATCCTGATAGGAGTGCTAGGCCTATCACCCAAAGCAGCAGAATGACTGCCTATACCTTTCCCTTCCAAAGCCCATTTCCTCAAATGAAAAGCATACCTGAAAATTATCACAAAAATTATATCAGCGAAAACGTTTTAAATAAAATATATCTGTACCTTCTGCGGAATGTTTCAATATGCGTTTTCATCAACACCAAAGCTCTCTGAATACAGAGCAAAGATGCTTCTTCTGAACCAGTGGCCGATGCCAGATCCTCAGAAGCCGCTTTTAAATGGGTCATGCACTGCCAAACGAACTGGTCTTCGTATTGTAAATTGTGACCCATATAGTAACTGTTTATATATTGAATAGCCGCCATACTGACATCTGCCAAAAAATAAATATGCCTGAAGTGAAATATGTTCTTGAGATTGATAGTCATTTGAAAGAATATATAAATAATATCACTGATAAGTTTAGTGTTTATGGTTCTGAGGAAGTAAACAAAAATGGAAGAATAGTTTTATCAGACCCATTCTCAAGTCAGGGGGAAAATGATATGATGCAGAATTGCAGAGGCCTAAGTGTAGCATTAGTTATTCGAGAAATGTTAGATGGTCTTTTTGTAGAGGAATTAGTTACATCCTGAAATCTAAAATTTATACAATGTATTGATGGATATAGCCTTTACTACGTGGTAGTATCATCATGAAAAATGAGAAATAAAACTTTCTGTTTTTTCACCACTTTTATTTGTAACTAATGTTATTGCAGTTTCGTCCTATAAGGACATTCTTAAACAATTACAATAAACAGTTTATTGTAATTGTTTGAAAATGTTCGTATAGAACGAAACTGCAGAAACATTACTTACAAATAAAAATTGTGAAAAAAAGGGTTTTATTCTCATTTTTAATAAAATTTATACCATTTACTCATTAAAAAAAAATTACATTATATTTCTATTTATTAATCATAAATACTTAAGAGAGAATTAACCTTTCAAAAAGCTGACATTTGTTGTGTCCGTTAATGATTGTATTGCAGTAAAGACANCAAATGCGCCACTGGAATCAATGAAGTCGCCCCGGAGCGCCAATTAATTTTTATTGTTGTATTTATTTTATTTTTGTCGTTGTTTTAACACATTGTAATAATCCAGAATAAATTTTATTGTTACACTGACATAATTTCAAATGTCTTTATTTGGGTTTCATTATAAATTTAAAAATTGGAATAGTTACATTACTAATTCCAATTTTCAGGTATTTTATTTTGAAGCAGACTTCAAAGTAACAGTGTACCATATTTTTTCTGTAGTGTTGGTGTTTAGCACAATTTGGAAATGCAGAATGTGACATTTGGAAATGACTGTTACAACATATTTTCAAATGTCTTTCTGAAGATCTTATTATTAACCTAAAAGAAGGCGTTTTTTGCAATTCTAAGTAAAAGTTTCCTCTTTGTTTCCACTTTATTCCTCGAATGATCAAAGAATTTATGAAATATAGAATAATGAAAATAACTTTTGTGTAATTTCTAGTAGTTCAAATTAGACAAAAGTTATTATCTTTATTCTATATTCAATATGAATTTCTACAAAATAAATAGGTCATCAATCGAACAAGCTATATGGAAATACTATTATGAGAAATTGGATGATTGTAAAATAGTAACACATACAAATAAAATTGTGTCAAATGTCTTTCAAAATATTTCATTATTAACAAAATCTGGCAGTGATTATTATAATTAAATCAGAAACGAAAGAAATAGTCGTATGATGGTTTACTTACTTGAAATTAGTTGGTGATACCACAGGCGAAAAAACAGCAGATAAAAAATGTAGCCGAACTTGTACTTGCATTTGATGGGTGTACATTGGCAATGACTTATTTGGATTTGCTGTGTAGACTTTCAAATTATTGAAAAAATGCGTCATCATGTGATGTTGTCGATCGGCCCAATGAGTAACGTGGTGCATATCTAGGCCTCGAAAAGAAGTCAATAATTTCGGAAGCATCCGAAGGGATACAACAACGGACCTGAAAAAATGAAGTTTAAATTAAATACAGAAACAATAGTTTTTGTTATATGATATAGTTAGTGTCTAATACCTACACGTTGTTTGCTAGATTATTTAGACAACCCTCAATGAATTTCATGCGTATTTCTTTGTCAGGTGTGTAACAGATTAAATTGCACAACGTCTTCTCAGCTTCTAATGCTAGTCCTTCTCCCAGCTGACACTGAAAAAAATTATTCTATTTGTTCAATAATATAAATACAAGGCGAAACTGACATATATTTTGAAGGTTGAACTTAGATGGCAATTTTTATATTATGATTTGGTACTTACAATTTTATCATCCTGGAGTAAATCCCACAATAAAGTATTGCCTGGTTGGCAAACATTGTCCACTTTAAAACAAGCAGACATACGAGGGTCTACTCTAATAGGTGACTTTTCAGGAGAATGATTGAAAACGTGAATATTCATATGTGCCTAAAAATTAATTTGTCATTAATATCTACAATTATGAAGGAAAATAAATTGGGTTTTTGGGGAATTAAATTAGGATTATTTATGAAACAAAGTATGTCGTAAAACAAGCACTTTTTCCAATCACCAGAAATACAACACACCACATAGTAACGGCTACATCCATCAATTTATAGAAATACAACACTCTTCTCATGGTGATATGCGTGTCGAGAAGAGTATTGCTTTTCTGGTGATTGGGAAAACTGTTTGCTCTTGGATTTATTCTACGCCAGGGGTTCCAGTTTTACCTTTTATTGAAATAAGTCCTGTCTTTTCAAAAGTATGAACAATGTCTGAAATATTGAATACTGCTACAAATGTTGAAATCAGTAATAATCATTGATGAATACATAATCAATTCTTCAAATCAAATATACTTTATTGTCAGAAGGAAATACATCTTATTGACAAAGTCTAAAGATACAAACAACCATTTGAAATTTACACATAAAATAGAACACATAAAAATATACATATACCAAGCGAGAAAATATTAGTAATAGACCCCATCAACCAGAAGCATTTTTTATTTTAACTGGCAGGTGATTGAACAGTTTGATGCCATTGAAAATAATCGAGTCTCTAACCACTTTTTACAAGTACACTTTTTTTATAATTCCTCAGACAAGAGGTGAAATCAGAAGTCATTTTCGAGGGTTTTTAAAAAATCGAATGTGAGACTATATTAAATCTGTATATGTATTGATCTCCATTTGAATATCATTATCTAGTATGTGTATGATTTAGCTCAACTCAATAAATATACCATGTTTCTTCAGATAAATAGAACCTTTCTACAGATTAATAGATGTGCTAGTAGCTAATTGCAAAAACGTATTGCATATGCATCTGAAAAATCATACTTACATGATCAGTCAAACGAGCCAACTCCTCTTCACAAACTGAATCCTCTCCATCGAAATCCGCCATGTTTTTCTCTGACTTGTTGCTCATCCTCGAAGAATAGCTGCCTTCAGCGTCTCCCTCAACTTCAGCCTCTTCGCCACTGAGCATCTCCAGAATATGCCTGTAATGATCACACAGTTTGAACCATCAATCAATTCGCAAAAGATAAATAATACATACCCTCCTCTGGCATGTAAAGAGAGAAAATTTGCGCAAGCTCCGTCGTGGCTTTCTTTGCCGAGTTCGCTGCAGGAAGAACTCTCCTCCAGGTAAGCAGCTGGTTTCAGATCACTGAAATTGAATATATTTTGTAATAAAATCGGTTTTATAGTTGTACATTTACACTTACATATCGACTAGGTCGTTCATTTGTGATGGAAGCACTAAGACGTCATTTGTCATATTAAGAGTACCCTTAATATCGTGGTCGCTGTCAACATCAACTTCGCTGAGTGTTTCTATACCAACGGCCCTGGATGATCGTTTGTGACTACCTGTGTGAACAAGACGAGCCTTCAGTTTTGTTTTGACTGATCAAAAGTTATGTTTCGCGCCCTATCTCTAAGAGATATTTGTCAATGGAATTTTCTCCAGAATTTATCTTATCCAAAATATCTTATATAGATCCTATTGACCTTTACAAAAAATTAAAAAAAAATATCTGATGAAAAAACACAATGAGACTTAACGTTCATTTTATAAATACACATATATTTCTTGTGAGGCGTAACTTGCAGTTTAGAAACTTTTTATATAGGGTCTATCGGGGCAAATGTGATACATCATGAAAAATGGGGCTAATATGATACACCAGGAGATTATTTACGTGCTTTGTGCCAAAAAAAGTTTTAAAAAAATACTGACTGAGTAATACATTCTATTATTGTTGGGCATAACGGAATTTCTCATTAAGTGGTAAGTGGACAATAAAAAAATAAATAATCAGCAGTGATTTTTTTAAGCAAAAAAAAATTTCAGTGACTGACTGTAAACTTTTATTCGAACTCCGTTGTTTATTGAGGTAGAAATGTTTTTATGCGCCACCCGTATTGGGGAAAGATAGCTTTATGTTTCTACATTTGAAAACAAACAAAATAGGTAATCTTATCACAAGATATATGACGTCACATATAGGGGGCTAATTTGATACAAATAAGGGGGTTAATTTGATACAAACATTGGGGCTATTGTGATACAGCTGAAGGGGTTTTCTTGATATTGCAAAACCTTGAAAATTGTGCATTTTATTAGTTTTTGTAACTTTCTTGGATTTCAACTTGTTTTGTTTTGTGAGGAGTGGGGGAGGAGTGAATAAGAAACATAAGAAAACAACCACATCAGGCACCCATGAAACCCAACCATCGGAAAATGCTACCCAAGACGAAATAACAAGAAAGGAAGAGAGTCAGATAATTCAGGAAAAACAAAGAAAACAAAAGAAGCATAAGAAAATAACGGTTTCGTCAGACAGCAAATCAGATATCTCGAGTGAAATTGATTTTTCAGATGAGGATAGCAGTGATTCCGACATTATACAAGCCATGCAGAGAGAGGAAGAGTCAGACTTGGAATTTGAGAAGACTTTAGGAAACTGCAATGTTAGTGACATGCATGACCAACATACTACACCTAGAATCAATGACTGGGTTGTAGGTAAATTTGTAACCAAGAAGAAAGTGTTGCATTATGTAGGTCAAGTTATGGATATTGAAGCTGGTGAACCGAAAGCAAAATTCACACGAATAAAAGAGACACATGAAGATACCACAGTTTTTTGTTGGAAAGAGCCGGAAGATGTGTCATTTATTGAAAATGAAGATGTGGTAGAAAAACTTGCTGAACCTGCTTTGGGAAGGAGAGGAGAACTGATTTTCAACTCGACTTTTGAATATTATAATATTCAATAATTTCATACAAGAAACTGGAAAAAATCATGGAATATTAAAAATGTTAAGTTTTTTCAATAAACGATGCTTTAGTTATTTTTTCCAAAGGAGTTTTTTTTCAGTGGAAAAAACATGAACAAGACACGGTTGTATCTTTTATATGACTGAAGACAAAAATTCGAAAAAATTACTGGTATCACATTAGCCCCAGAGCTGTATCATTTCAGTCTCGTCTTAAGTTCATTGACGATATTAAATGAAATACAATGCTGTATCACTTAAGCCCCATCATCGTATCAAATCAGCCCCACCAGGTGGGATTATTATGATACATAGTTTTTATTTGTTTTTCAGCATTGGTACTGCAACTACATTTTTGTGCACCCATAAATAAACTAACCAATACGAATTATATATCCCAGTATTTTTTCAAAATGGCTTAATGTATATGGTTAGGTATTATAGTGAAAAGTGTATATTTTTGTATCATATTAGCCCCGATCGACCCTATATTTTTCTTTTTTACTATAAGACGTTTATTTTATTTATGTGTTTCCAAAATTTTATAATGTATTTGAAGTGAGATGTGACAACAAATTAATTTTATTTTTAGATTTAGATAACTTTCTCACCGGTAGAGCCTTCGCCAATCATGACCAGACAAAAAACGGTGTTTGTCGACTTCATTGATTTCCGAGAACTGTCTTAAGCGGCACAACACAATTTTTATGCTGACGAAATTAATCAACTTGTGTTGAGTTGGCAAAAAAGCACTGATTTATAAAAAAATTGAATAAGTATTTACTAAGATATTACAGTTTGAAGTAGACTAACAAAAACGGACAAAACTTTTGAAACAACCTTATATTTCATTACTGGAATTGGGCTTGAGCATTTTCCAAAACCAATGGCTCCAGAAAATTAGAGAGAATTACACTTACTAATTGTTCAAATGTAATAAAAATGATGTCTGGCAGAAAAAAAGTGTGGTTTCTATCGTTGGATAATCATATTTTGATATTCACATCTAACTAACCTTTTTGTCGTTTCACTCTAGTTTTCCTCAATAGTTTTCTCCTTTTTCTCATTTTGGATGGCGAGTCCTCCACATCAGCCTCGTCTTGCGAAGAGCTAGATGGACCCGCCTCTACACTTTCCGGAAGAACGTTCAGATTTGTTAGAATTTTTTTACGAACATGTGCTCTTTTCTCGTTCTTAGATTTCATTTGTCCTGTCCACTTCGATTTGTTCGACTCTGGAGTTTTGATTGGAATGCCTGAAATTGAAACATCTTCCTTGATATAATGAAATTTGTTTTTTTTTTCATTCAAAATTACCACACATTTTATTCTAAAAAAGGTATATGCTTCTTGATTAATTTCAGACGAGAATTAAAAAAAAATTCTGTACAACCATAGTGTATAAAATGAAATAATAATTCAACAAGTTTTACAGACAATTCTATTTGTGGCATGGTTATTGAATCTATATAGGGAATGAAGGGAAAAAGTTGTGAATTGATGTCAAACTACAAATTTTATGAAGGTGAAGTCATCAGAAATTATTCAGGGGTTGAAAATATGGGAAAAATTAGTTCAACCATTTTAATGATTATTACATAAATGCCACATCATCCTCCCATCATAATCCCCAGCGGGATCAAAAGAAGATTCTATAAGATTCGTTCTCTGTCTTTAATTGCAGCTTTCACAGCAAGTCATCTAGTTGAAACTAGGGCCCAAAAAAATGAAGCATTCATGATCGTGATTCGTTGTCCTTTATAGACAGTTGATTTAGCAATGCACTCCTGATTCAGCCTAGCACCATTGATGATACTTATGTCGTGTCGAAACGACACTGTCTGGTGTTGGATTACGAATGCTTTGTAGGCTCTGGTTTGAACTGGTGATTATTGATCAACTGAAAGGAGAACATATTTGGTCTTATACTTTATCGATATGACTTTTTGAGGTTTACAACTTCGCAGTGTTAATGAAAAGTTTACAAATTTTTTCTTTTGTTCAAATGAAAACTGTTTTTATTTAGAAATGTTTCTCCACTTTGAAAAATGACAACTTTGTTAATGTAGACAAAATGTATCATAAAAATAGTAGAATGGAACCAATTGATACAATTCCCATACATAAACTCGGATTTAGTCCCCATCTTTATGAATGACACGGCACACTCCTGTCCTAACGCAAAAAAATATTTATGTATGCTGATGATACAAACATACTGGTCTCATATACTAACACATAGGATGCAGTAACGAGGGCAAATATCACCGCAAATGAATTTCATTAATGGTGTTTTTATAATGGGTTACTAGTAAATGTATCTGAAACTTTTTTTATGACATTTATTACGCAAAATATTAGTTATCTGATAAAAATCAATAATAAAAGAATTGAACAAGTGAATTTTATAAAATTTCTTGGTTATAGACCATAAGATGACATAGAAGGAACACATCAATGTTCTTGCGAGAAAATCAAGCATTGTGTGCTTTATAATTAGACAGCTTCAAAGAACAGTGTCTTTGGAAGTATTTAAATTGGCATATTATGGACTTGCCCAGTCCCTAATAAGATAGGGTCTGATGTTTTAGGGCAATTCATGTCAATAAAATATTTCTCATGCAGAAAAAAATTATTAGGTTCATAGTGGGAGCTCATCCGAAGACTTCACAGTTATTTTCACAGTTACAAATTTTTACACTGCCTTCACTGTATATAATGCAAATTACTGTAAATATAAAAAAACAAGAGGCTTTAATGTTATCAAATAGTTCTATTCACAAATATTCAACTAGAAAACTGGAAAATGTATGTCAACCTTTCTTCAGACTAAAGATTGGGTGAAAGTGTTATATTTATCAAGGTGTTTTAATCGTTTTAAGGAACTGTTTGGTCCAACTCACAAATCTAAACTGCTTCAGGAACACTCTTCACAAATATTTGAAAGAAAAAATATTTTATTCTTTAGATGAATTTTTGATGTAAGTGTATGTGCATTATTATATTATTTTATCACTATCATTAAAGTATTGTTATTTTAATGTTCTTTGATTGTACAATTGTTTCTTTATTTATTTACAGAAGGTACTTCTTTTCAATATATACTTATTTTATGTTTGTATTTTTGTAACTTCTAATGTTTATTGACTTTCAATATATTCTTATTTTGTATTTGTACTGCTGTAACTTGTAGATTCTGTTATAACTAGTGCAATAAGTTTATATGACGTACTTTTATATATTTGTATGGACTTCGGTGATGAATAAATTTGATTTGATTCGAACTATCTTAATGATCTTCCCTCAAAAAAAATTGTAATATTATTTTTTCTATCACTATTACTTTGAAGGCAGCAGTTGCACTTTTTCTTGAATTCCAGAAAATATTAAAAAAAAATCACTTGCCATCCAATTCAGTATCAGTACTGCTGCCTTCGCAATGAGCTCTCTCCATAATCTGCTTCTTGGCCAATTTGCAAGGAGGAGGTCCGTTGTTATCTACGAGCTGTCCTGTTTCATCTTCATCGATTTCAACCCCATCAATGTCCTCGCTATCGGTTTTGTGACTTTCTGACTGAGCTGAACTATCTCCCTATGCAAATTAGAATAGGATGAAATAAAATAGTTTATTGGTGCTGTTGAATATGAAGCTCCACAAAAGTCAAGATTATTATAGTTGAAATAAACTAAAACTACAACTATCAGATCTACTTATAAAGATTACATTTTGAAATGTTTTGTTATCTAATACAAATACAAACAGAATGTAATTATAAGTCAATCATGATATTACTGGTGAGATACATCCTCTCCAAATCTGGAGAGGTTAGATGGTCAGCACACAGAATTGTGAATATTGCCAATTACACAAAACGGGCTTATGCGGAGCATAGTAAACTTCTGGCTGATACTGACAGTCGGAGCATTTTGGGAATGACCTCCTCTAGTATACATCACAAAACAGCCATATAGATCAAATATTGATACATCAACATTAACACAGACACATTGGACAAATAACAATACATGTTAAAGTCATTCAGTAGCAACACAGTGATTCACCTAGTACTCCTTAAATTTGAATGTAAATGAGTGCATGCTTCCAAAAATTTCAGTTCAACCGGAAGATATTTGAATAATTTGATGACTTTGTCCTCGACCCCTCTTTCAAATAATGCAGTTCTACGAGTTGGTGTGTGCAGTAAAAATATTCTTGGACAGCCAAGCGACATTGAAAGCTCCTGGCTATCACTGAGCAACTTTGAAGTTGGTAGTGAACCGCCAAAAAGACTCCTCTCAATGAAGATACTCAACAAATTGTCTCTAGTCTGGAGTTCTGGCCACACTGGTTTGGAAGTGAACAAAGCTGCTGACTCCCTTGCAAGGTAGGGCGCTACAAGCTGCTTCATCTGACCAGAACCTGTCATTTTCAAAACAAAACTCCTATTATGTTATGTAATAGGAGGCGCACTGGTCAAATGCGCCTGTAAGGAAGCAACGACCATAACCGGAAGAAGAACAACTTTGTTTTCCATTTATCTAACATGGCAATAAAATTTCAGAGTGGGGTCTAAGAGTATTTCCAAAAATATTACCGAATTTCAATTTTCTTGTATAAAATGGTTTTTCAAGAAAAATATTACTGGGGAATCAAGAAAACTTAACCTGATGAAGAAACGAATCTTTATCCAAGTAGACACTGTCCAGTCGATATACTTACATGATCTTCTTCTGAGTTAGTTGGGTCTAAGCTGACGCTGTTCTCAGATGAAGAACACTTGTGCATAGCAATTCCTGCACCTGATGTTGCCACGTTGATCATCCCTATTTCGGGAGCACCACTTCCTCTGGACCAGATTGCTTTTATAAGAGCGGATGCTAAATATAATGTCTGAAAAAAAATGATAACATTGTTATTAGTCGAGGTACACCTTTTATGTACTATCAGTAACAATATTTTTCAAATACTACAAAATAAAAGTTGTTTTCTGATAAAAAACTGAGAAGAAAATCTGGTTTCCAAACTGACTAAATAAAATATCGAAAAGAGAGCAAAGTTTAAAAAAGAAAAATTTCATTGAATTTGTGTAACTTTTCGGTAATCTTCCTTATTTCAGTCTCTAGATTATTCTACTCATCTTCAGGTAATGAAAAGTAGAATAGGAACCTCCGATGCAAAATGAAAAAAATTGTTTCGCACATCAGAACTGACACTTTCCTTGACAAATGTTTTCCTAACCAAGTTGGTCGAGTATGAAAATGTCAAATGATTAAATGTTACAAATCTGCATCTGTATATACAGAGTGATAAAATTCTTCGATATTCAAGCACTAACGGCGCCAAAGTAGAAAAAATATTAATACTGTACCTGCTCTGTGTGATCCTTCGGTTCCAGTTTAGTAAGTAAACTGTACAAATGTAGAGTTGGTGCTGCAGCTAAATGTTTCACAAGACCAGGCAACAAATCGTGAACCGGTTTTGAGCAATGCTTCAGCTGAGCAGCTGCCCAAATGACGTCCATGTGCTCGCAAGTTATCCTCCCCTCCATTGCCAAAAAGTTCAGAATAATATGACTCTGCTTGATAACCTTGAAGATAAATGTATGCATATAAATGAAACGTGTATAGAGAGGACAAAACTTGTTTTCATTGGCCATAAAGTTTATTTCTTTATAAATGGAAAAACAACAATTGTTGACAAAATTCAATACATAAACTTAATTATAAATATCTTTAAGACTAATAATATACATTTGTACCATACATACAATGGTCATCTGTGAATAATCGTGAAAATGAAATTTAAGATATTCATAAATAATATTAAAAAATAGGGAGAATATTCCACTAAAGCACATTAATTCTAAAGTCATAATTTGCAATTGAACCCTTTGAAGATTAGGTGGAATATAGGAAAAAGTAAAAAGTATAAAACATATTCAGTTGCTTCTCTCAAAATTTTAGAAATTGGAGGAAAATCTCCTTAACAGTGTCGTGAAAGTTTTCCATATATAAATTTACAATTTAGAGGAAAATGAATTTATTGATAAAATTTTAAACCCTCAGTAGTTACACTTGTTTGATATTGTTGATCTGTAATAGTATTCAGGAAATATCAAGATGATTGCTCTTCAAAAAGGCTATTTAACACAAATTCCATAACCTAAAAACGAAGCATTCATGATTCAACATCTGAAAGCACTATTTTGACCCCACCAGTGATGCTAGAAAGAACTACAAATGCCTTCTTAGTCTCAACTGTCTATACAGAACGATTCCTCGTAAATGAATAGCTTGACATCTTCCCATATGAAGATGCTATATACTGAATCGACAGAAGACTTAATCCACAAATATTGAAGATAAACAAAGGCCCATAGCCAAAAATAGTTTTTGACGAGTTCAATTTTCCAAATACATCTCTAAAGTCAACATGTCAGATATTTCACAAACCTCATCAATATAGACAGATAAAAAGTGATCAGCAAATGAATTTACTGTTTCAGAATCAATTCAAAAATAACTACCATTAGTAAATTCTGGGAATTTCAACCTATCAATACTCCCACTATCAACTTTTCTGTCGACCCACAGGAAAATGTGTTAGAACCACTTTCGTTTTTATGCTAAATAAACGATATCGCGAAACATTAAGAATTTGGTTGCACACCACAAACTAATAGTGTACAGAGAGAACGTATATCTAAAATGAATGACTATCTAGAACATAGAGTTTCACCACCAGAATCATGATTAGAGAGAAAATAATCCAGGTTGGTAGGATGAATGGAACGTGTAGTATCAAAGACTGACACTGTTGACGCTCGAAATTCTACCTTTGTTCTCGAAGTCAATGCATATACCACTAAAGATGTCTACCTTAGTAGCAGAAGAAACATTTGATACAACAAATTCCTTTCGACCACAGCCTCCCAGCTCGAAAATTGTTCTTTTTAATATATGTTTTTGTTTGCAAATTTTGGTGTCCTTAGAAATAAATCACTTTCTTCTTCTTCATTTAAAAACACAGTGGCAGTTATGAATCAAAAATTAAGGCAAAATATAAATTATAGTTCAATACCACCTCCACAAGCCACATAAACAATAGTTGTTTTGTTATTTATTTATATAGAGGAAGATAGGTTAGGTGCACAAAATGTCATATATCACAGAATGTCTCGGAACTCGGAACATAAGTAACAGCACGCCTCTGAAATATGTCATCTTTGTTTGTCTCATATAGGTAACAGATTCATTGTACTTTATTAGCTATAACCGATGTTGCCAAATGGTGAAATAGAAACGAATCCCTTTAAATGTTGAATGCATTATTTCATTCCTCTTTTTTAAGTATTTAAATAATTTTTTAAAGAAAAAGGTTGAAATGATAAGTTTAAAATGCGTTGTTTTAGAGCTTTTTTATGAAAAACTACTTGATTTTCGTCAGGAGGAACATTCTCCATTACAAGATCTAACTGACCGATACTTGATGAAAAGTCATTCAAAGTTTACATAACCGCCACATGTGTTACGCTATAAAATAAGATCTTTGGGCGTCACAGATGCTATTGTATAGCGAAATACGTGTCGCGATACACATCAAAGTGTTTTTTGAATATGATATGCATTAGTTTGTCTTACCTCAACGTGCAGATTGGGGCCGAATATGTGTGAAATTATGTTGTTGCTAATGAGCCAGTCTGCCATATGTCTCGGCGCTGCCTCCGCCTCCGGTAAAGATTCGCCCACGCATATTTCCGCGAGGACGCCGATTTGATTGTTGATTTGAGTTATCCCTGCTAGACGCATCGTCAGAGTGGTTGACGTGAAATATTTGAAAGCCAAATCCAGACCGTCCAGGTCGAATGCTACCGGCGAATCAAGCGGATCTTTTATGGCGTTCCACATGAAATCTGAAATATGGTTAGTGAAACAGTTGTTTTGAGATTCATATAATAGTAAAAGAAACGTATACTTTGAAGAAAAAATACTCAATAAGTGATTATATGATTACCAATGAATAATCTCTCCCAGCGGCATCTGTCTGTATGCAATAAACTCGAAAACTACCAAACAGATTTTCATTCTTTTGCAATATAACAAAACAATACACTACATGTTTTTTTCATGGCCTACAGAAAATTCTGCGATGACATATGTTCATCTTTTAGGGATGGCTTTCTACACCTATTTCATTAAAAAAAAAGGGATCACATATAATGTGGTAATTGGAAAGCTGTTAAGACGGATACAATATTGAAAGGTAGAACTGGACCTAACTTCACCAATTGATTACGTTAATGGTTCAATTTCATCAAATAAATTAGATTTGTACCCAATTAGATGTATTGTCTGAACATGATGAAATATGCCAATTGTTGTCATGAAACTAGGAGTAAAAAAGAAATTGTTAAGATAAGTGCCACAAGGGTCAATATTGGGGCCACTTGTTTTTAATGGCTGTACCTGTAGTACTTTCTTTTGGTTAAATATCTCCTGCAAAACCTAAGTAATTGGAGTCAATCAATTCTTGCATGACTTGCATATTGTAAGTTTTTTGAGATTTTAACTGTTTTACATTTTTATTCCAATTGAAGCCATCAAGAAACTACAGGATCGACTAATTTTGTAATTATTTGTGTTCATTGAAACAATATTGTTGAAATGGATTAATTTTTTAGGAGTATAGTAACACGAATATTTTATTCTTTTCATTATTGTTTGGATCTATGCATTGCAATGATTCAATTCTTTGAAAATATAATTTATAAAAATAAAAAACAAGCGAGACGAATCCCTTGAATATTTGACAAAGAAATGCTCAAAAAAATGGAGTACTCACCAGCCATGCTCTTAATAGTTGGAGTACGTAGATCTTGATCTGATAGTTTACACATGTACCGCAGAACACAGGAACGCAATGGTACCAGCATGGAGACCATGCTCTTATAGTTCATCCATAGTTTTAAATTACAAACTGAAAAGTAACACCAATAACATAACAGTTGGAAAATGAACAGAAATACTTACCAACAGATATCATCGCATGTGCAGTAGAGACTGGCAGTAACTCGGGAGTGAGTTTCGTGAAGCATGTCGTCATTGCTAAAAGCCCACCCATTTTGCAGAACCAACTAACGTTCTTTAGGAGGTAAATTGGAATCTCTGAATCGTGCAAATCGCAAAACAAATTCAGATTCTGCATCTCTTGTTGGGTCAATTCATCCAACTTGGCCTGAATTGTGTGTTTGTATGCTACATACAAAGGAAAATTCAGTAAAAATATTTTAGAAACCAATATCAATAGTTTATCCCTTTCTATAACTTCTGGATTCTCTTTTTCGTCCTCTGAATGTTTATTGCTTTTGTGCTTTTTGTCAGGCTCATCTTCTTTTCTTTTATCAGTCGCAGGCTCTTTGTCTGAGAGGCATTTCAACTGACTCGCTGCCATATAAATGAGGCCCTGGGTGACATAGCTAAACCGTTCAAGGTTTTTTGGGTCACGGTAACAACACATGCACTGCCTGAAAATTAGGAATTAATATTTTTAGTTCAGCATGAAATTGTTATAAATAAGGGAGACCCAGTGAAATAAATTGTTTGTTATGAGGATTGACTCACATGATGAAGACATTGAAGTTAATAAAGAGATAAGGGAGCTTATAAAATAGTTAAAAATAAGAAAAATTGCATAATTGAGCTAAATTATAAAGAAAAAAGAAACGTGGTTATGATCTGCGCAAAACTCAGGAAGATATTCTACTTTCAACAAATTGAAAATGAATTTCAAATGTGAAAACCCTTAAAAAAATATGGATCCTAAACATTTATTCATAGCTTCTTCAGGAGATTACAACTTGAAAACCAGATATATGTAGTTCTTGTGCGGAGCGCCAATTAATTTTTGTTGTTTTATAATTTTCTAGATAATAAGAAATAGATTTAGTTGAAATAGATATCCTAATATACATAAGTATTATACAAATATATCAGTTATTAAACGAAATTACAATAAAAACTGAAATATATAAGACCTATATAGTGGAATATATTGGTAAAACATAGCAGTAGTAGATGATGAAGATATTAATAGAGAGAAGAATGATGAACAACTCAATTGGAATAGTATTGTGCCCGTAGATATTGAGTAAGGAGCGTTTGAAGAGTTGGAGGTTGTTACTTTGTTTAATTTCATTAGGAACCTTGTTATAGTCCAAGAGTCCTCTGTGAAAAATAGAATTCATTGTTCTTGCAAGGTTAGTTCGTGGGACAACCAAGTCATCTCTTCCTCTGGTATCGTATTTGTGTATCTGATGGTTATATGTAACAAACTCATAGAAGTAATGTGGTGCTTTTCCAGTGAGTATTTTGAATATGAATATCATAGAAAAATATTGTTATCTATCTTTTACTGTCATCCAATTCAGAATATTAATCATTGATAATATAGGAGTATATTTATGGCATTTTAATAACAAGCACATTCCTCTGTTTTGTAATTTTTGTAGAGTAGAGATAGAATTACCGTTTAGTAATGATATCAAAGTAGCACAGTAATCAAAGTGTGGTAGGATTATTGTTTTATGAACAGTCAAATTAGATTGGAATGTTAATTGTCTACTAATTCTAGTAAAGAAAAATACTTTTTTTAGAAATTTTATTACACATATACTGGAAGTGTTGTTTAAGTTCAAAGTGTTATCAACGATGAAGCCCAAGTATTTGAATTCTTCCACAATTTCTATAGTTTCGCCGTAGATTTCAATAATTATTGAGGTGATATCAATTAAGTTATATTTATATTGTGTTGTCAATATCATAGCTTTCGTTTTAGTGGTATTCAATTTGAGTTTGTTTATGTTCAAAAACTTCGCCACGTTTTCTAGAGTCAAATTAATTTTGCATACAGCATTATGAATATCAGAGTCCCTTGCTGCAATGAGAGTATCATCTGCAAAGAGGTTGATATACATGATATAGTTGACAGTTCAAGTGCATGATATACAACATCAATACAATTTTAATTATTTACATTTAATCACTGATGATAATCTTGAGAGCATACACTATGACTTTTTCCTGGTCTATCAGCACCAGTATTAAGTCAAAAAAACAATATATGTAACAGTACATGTAGTGTTGATTCTATATATAAGACTAGCAAGCCATATTGTGTTGGTAATTATTAATTATAGACTCATAGCAGTCATAAATAATTTTGAAAAGATTTTTGAACATACACTCAAAAAGTAATTGTCAAAATTTCTTAACAAAACTCGTATAAAGTTAATTTGGTTTCATAGACAACTCTAATACTGAATGTTCAGTTCTTGAAAAAAAAAGTAACTTTTGGATAGATAAGAAAAATGTCTAACTATTTTTCTCGGTCTTGTCAAAGCTTTGGACACAGTGTTTCATGGCAAGCTCTTACAAAAACTGAATTATTGAAGTGACTGATTCAGGATTACCTAATTTATAGAACACAAAAAGTTGAAATTGAAAAACGGGATAGCGTTTCTATTTAAGTTATTTTAGGAATTCCTCAGGGTACTGGTCAGTCCTGTTCATGACATACATCAATCCCTTATGCCAAAGACACTGCTAGGCTCGTTAAGGGATTAACTATAATCAGATTCCGAGAACCTGTTAGGATGTTGAAAAATTGTGGTTGAATCACAACTCATCAAGTCTTAATATTGATGAAACCAAATTTGTAATTTTCACTGTACTTCAAAGTAAATAATCTGTTAAGAACATGCTCAATATGGTAATATAAAATGTAAAGCTGGAATATTTACTTATCCACTTATAATAATAATTATAATACATTTTATTTGCAAACATTGATATATATGTACACGAGGTCAGTTCAAAAATACGGGAAATATTTAAATTTTGCAGGCTACGTATATTCGATTGGTAATTTTTTTATATAAGTTCACTCGTCTCGAACATAGTTTCAGCTGTTATCAAATAATTTGTATTGAGTGCTCAAAAATACCTGAAATGGTGACAAAGGCATACAGTGATTGGGAGAAAAATGTTTACAAGTGATACAATCTGTTCACAGAAGGTTGAAAAGATGTGAATGATGAAGCCCACCCTGGACGCCCCTGCACATCATCAACTGATGAAAATGTTGAGGAAGCCAAGCTATGTGAGCGGTATATAAGAGATGAAGTACTAGTTCACAACCCACTTCATCCAAATCAGCATGCATATACTCCAGGAAGGTCTACTGATTCGGCCCTTCACCATGTGGTTGGCAGAGATCATTGGACAACAAAGATTCCACCCTGGGTATATTCATAGACATCAAGGGAGCGTTTGATAAAACAAACTTTCCAACAATTACCCAGCAACTTCACTCCAGGAATGTACCCCTGGTAGTAGGAGAATGGATACCCAAGTTGCTCTCTAGTAGAGCAATAAGTATCAATGTAGAAGACATCACAGTGAAAAGACTGGCCATGAGGGGATGTCCACAGGGAGGTGTCTCATTACCTTTTCTCTGGAACATAGTTCTGGATACCCTAATTAATCACCTTAACAAAAATGGATTCTACGCAATTGCATACGCAGATGACATAGTTATCTTGCAGGCCGGCAAATTTGTGAACACACTGAGCGCAGGATGGGCTCAAATTGATAGAAACATGGTGTAAGGAACATTCACTGTCTATCAATCCCAAGAAGGCTGAGATGGTCCTTTTCACCAGGAAAATAAGTTTATCGGAAATACAAATTAAACAGAACACAGAGTCAGATGCTACAAATGCAATCCGCATTTATAAAGATGGCTCAAAAACCAAAGAAGGCTCAGGATGTGGAGCGTACTCCAGATAACTAAGCCTAAGGATTAAGTGGGGAATGGGAAGAAATACCAGCGTGGTCCATACAGAACTGGCTGGTATCTCAATTGCCACAAAAGAAATAACCAGGAAAGGAATTTCTGGCAAAAACATAATAATCTGCACCGACAGCTGACAAGCCCTATTAGCCTTGAACAGATAACGTACAACCTCAGGGCTAGTACTAGAGTGTCACCAAGATTTAGCCAAAGCCTCGGCCCCTTTAAAAGGACACCTGAACGTGATAGGACTTAGACGCAGGCAATGTAACTTAGGGACAGATACAGCCTGTCATATTTTATGTGAATGTGATACCCTGATTCATCGAAGGCAACTATTTATTTCCAAGCCAAATTTTTAGAAAGAACAAAACCCAATCTGTTAGGCAGTGTTTGAAAGGAACTTTTAGCACCAAAAATTTTGTGGCGGCAGACATCTTTGGTGGTATAGATGTTGACTATTACACATTCCAAGAAGTTTCTTTATTATTAACACTGATTTGGCATTGTAATGTTAATTCATACATTTTTACTACATATTACAAATTATTAGCAATGACAAAATGGCATACGTCTAGCGGCACTGTAATCTCAGAACTATAAGAAGATGAAACCGAAAGTTGTGACGAGCTCTATAAAAGTAAAAGAAGATTCTAACCAGTAAGTGTACACACTTAATAATATATTACTTTTGGACTTGAGTCTTTGGCAACGATGACTATGGTCATTAGCTTCCTATGCTAACGAGGTTGAAAACGAAATGAAACTGATTAAGGAAAATAGTCTTTCGGGGAACCACCTCAAAAACAGAATAATTATGATCCATTTATACTGTAGATGTACCATCATGACAGAACTGTGCAATATTATTGGAAAACCAATTTTATACATAGACAACAGTATTAGATTTGTAATATAAAAGTACTGCTTACCTAGTTGGCCAAGTCTGAACATATACATATACAATATCTACATCTCTATTAGTCAAAATAGGCTGCTCGTTCGTTTCCCTACAAAACTGGGGCTCATCTGAAACGGTGTTTAAGTGGACAATAAAAAACAATTATAACTATGCACAGTGGCCTACTGTTATTTTTCTGATAATTTCGTAAATCGAGAACTTACATGAAATGAGAAGTTGTAGGAAGTCTGAACACGCGTCACACATTTTAATGTTTCCTAAAATAACGCTCATATATTTCCCATGTCAGTTTATTTTATTCCAAAACGTCTTTACAAAGTTTTGGAATAGACCTTTTGTTTGTCTATACTCGGGAGTTTTAATGACAAATATCCACCATTTTGAAACGTCTCCAAGAAACGAAGAAGAAATGTCAATTGTCTAATTTAGAAACAATGTTGCCACAGCAATGTGAAGTTTGCTGAACTGCTTGAATGTCCTTGCTTCACGATTATTCTGTGGTCTACACTATTTATTCTTGAGAAGCGTAATACACCTATCGATGATTTGCTACATGATCACTGTCACTTTTGAATTTTCAAATTAGGAACACGTATTTTCCATAAGTAGGAATCACAAAAAAGGCATTTTAGTAGATATTAAGAGTATGCTAAAACAAAAGACACACGTCTACTAAACAAATTTTATTTTTCTATGTATAATATTCAACTCTAGGAAAAATAAATAATTGTTGTTTCAAGCGAATATAATTTTTCATGAAAATAAGTTTTCAAGATAACTTGGAACTGTAATTCAATCGAATATTCCAATAAGCCATCAGATTTTCATATTAGATTATTTATTATTTGTCGATACGGACCCCTATGTCTTACACTCATAAAAGTGATTTTTCGAAAATAATATTCTTTCGTTTTGCCACTGCAACAACGAGATATTACAAGAAATATATCAATCGGCCGAAAATTCTCAAAAGAGCAAACTTTTTTCTCGCAAATTTGGACTACTTGGCGTACACTCATAATAGAGATTTTTCGAAAAAAAATTTTTTTTCATCATTTTATAACGACGAGATATAACAAGAAATTTTTCAATAGGTCCCCAGATTCTGAAAAGAGCAAAATTGTTGTGGTTGTGAGATCACTCCTGCGTTTAAGGTTGGGAATACTTAGTTTTCCTCGGACCTAGGACTCAATTTTGCACTGAATATTCAATTAATTTAATTTGCAGAACTGGAGATTTATCAACTTTCGATTTAAAATTTACGATAACGTGATTTTAGTTCCCAGAGGAATGCGAGTACCTGCTGTCTAGAACTGATTTCATTTGTGTGAAGGAATCAAGACCGCGAAAGTAACGCAAATAACTCATTTTCAAAGGTATGCGAGTATAGTCTATATGAAGTCAATCCGAACAGCTAAATACTTTTGCTACATTACTATCTACTACTAATAAAAACATCCGTGTCGGTTTATGAAAAACAAAATTGATTTTGACAAAAAAAATTAATCCACGCCGCCCAAGCCATATAAAGAAACGGCCGACGTTCGGTAACTATTTAGTTTTCATGCCATTCGAATTGACCTCGTGTATACTAAACCTGCTTTAATGAATGTAAATTCCTTCAGAATGTGCACAGTGCAGTAACTACCACTTTATTTTTCAGAAGAATTGATTCTGTTCCATCAGCATACCAAAAGTTAATTTTCCATGATAATAACTACATAATTTTCACAAACATTCTTATTTCTAGACGCGTTTCACTAACACACGCGTCTAGAATAAGACTTCACCACCACCATTCGTGTTATGTCTTTTAAGATATATATTGGGACGAAAATGAGCAAGTTTTATGAAAATTTTGTGAAAAAGTTATGAACAGAAATGAAAAATAATAATTTTTAAAAAGCAATACAACTTCCAAAATCAGAACAAAATTTTGTCTAATTGAGTGAGCGAAATTCATGATAGTCATGTCAATAGTTAAGTTATTTGGATTATTGAAGGAAGACGGTTAAAATATTTAGTCAACATTGTTATAGAGAAATAATTATCAAAAATAAGAAAAGGAATAAAATTAAATGAACAATTAGTCGTTAATTGAAAAAATATTAGAACACTAATTCATAAAGAAAACAAATGATTGTGATCTTAAATGAAAATGAATGGTTCAAACAGTAAGTGAGATGTGAATTGTATAAAATAAATGATAATGAATGTAATATAAAAAATAAAAATGAAATAGTCATCAGTTTCCATTTGAGGACGATTCTGGATACTAATAATCGAAACGTGTCGTGAAGACTTTTGGTTTGGAATCTCTCTTTTCATTTTTCTTATTTTTATTTTTCCATTAAAAAAATCTGTTTAAAATCTGTTTTTCCGTTAATCAGCTGTTGCCCCCATACGAACGACAACTCTCAGAAGTTGAGAAAATTCTCACCTTTCACCTTTTAACGTGTGATTCCTAACACGGTTTCAGAATCATCCCAGTTTCAACCAGATGAATTCTCTCGAGAAAAATATCTGGTCGAGGCAGGAATCGAACCCACGGTCTTCCGATCGTGAGTCGGGCGCACTACCACCGCTGCCAATTCCATTGTTTCATATCATTCGTCTTTATTATTTTGGTTTCGTGTTTTTATTTTTATTGTTTGCATATAATTAATATTTCACTTATTTTTCAACCCATTTTTCATCTTAGATCATCTTAGATCTGGGAACTAAAATAATTTGTTTTTTTTACAAATTAGCATTCTTAGTTTTTCAAATTTCATAGGATCCTTTCTTTGGTGAGCTAAGTTATCAATAGTTTCATTCATTGACTTATTGTATTGATTACAGAGTGCACTTATATTTGAGCACCTTGCAGCAGTGTGTACAGCAAAATATTTTTTTTTTGAAGTTGCCTTATTTACAAACCGCTTTTTACGTCTTAATGCAGAGAAATTATTATTCATTCACTATAATTTGCCCTTAGTTCAGTGAGTAATAATGAATTTTCTAAGTTGTAGAATTATTGTGTGATTACTGATTGTATTTCTTAAGTGATACTAACGAAATGAAGCAAATAATTACCTTATTTTTTTAAATCTGGTATTCGGCTGGATGTTATTTGGGCCGCTTTATAATTACCGGACATACGTTTCATCTCTAAATATTCTACGTGCTGAGCGCATAACGTGTTGGCCATGCGTCACAACAACATGTGACGAATCAAATACCAAAATTTTCTCGTGACAATAATAGACAACACGTGAAACATCGTGACAATATCTGACATTAAAAGTACAAGTGACGTAAATGCCAAGACGTGAACCTCTTCATCTTTTTTCAGTTGTTGGACTCAAAGTTTGTTTGAAGGTAGTGACAATGTTTCGTGGTGCATTTCATTAGTTCGGACTACCATTGTCTTATATGATATAAATTTATTTGAAATACCTGAATGAATCTGTAAAAAATTAAAAAAAAAAAGAGATTAGATGAAAAACAACAATTATATCAAGCAAAAAAACTGAATTTATAATGGAATAAAATACAAGCAACAACGAAAAAATCAAAAAGAAAATTAAACTATTACCACAAGATGAAAATTGAAAAACTATTAACAAGAAATGAAAACTAAAAATTGAAAAATTCCAAACCAAGTTACTTCACGACGTTTCGATTGTTAGTATCCACAATCGTCTTCGGGTGATAAATGTTCCGTAACCGTAGCTATACCATCGTCACGTCAGAGTAGAGACACGGCAACATAGGTTGATTTCAAATTTCAATTGGAATATTTATTTTCAATTTTGAGGTTTTACTAGTGTTCATCACGTCTTTTTTTAGTGCCCCTTAAGCCGCGATATTTGAAAGATTTTTGTTTGAATAATTGGGGAATCGGCGAAACAAGTTGTTTTGTTTTGTGAAGAAAAAGGTTGTGAGATCACTCTTGTGTTTGAGGATAGGGATACTTAATTCTCCTGAGAGCTAGGACTTAAATTTGCGCCGAATATTTATTACTTTGATTTGCAGAATTGGAGACCTATCAACCTTCGAGTTACGATATACGACACCGTTCCTGGAGGTATGCGAGTACCTGCTGCCTAGAACTGATTTCACTTGTGTGAAGGTGTCAATACCGCGAAAGTATCGTAACTAACTTATTTCCAAAGGTATGCGAGTACCAGTCGGCGGAAAGAGTTGCTTTGCTGAATAGAAAATCTTACAGGTTGTGCAGTCACCATCGCATTAACTTTCTCATAAGAATTGATTTCGTTTCGTCAGCATGCCAAAAGTTAATTATTCACCGAGTAGGGTAACCAACCCGCGTTTACAAAGGCACCGTGATTTTGAGTCCCGGAGGTATGGGTGTAGGTACCTGCTGCCTGGAATTGACTTCACTTGTGTGAAGACTTTTACTCCAGAAGATTCTGGAATTTTCTAACATAGTTCAGGAAGTGTTGAAGTTCATATCTTTCTAAGGCAGCCGATATTCTTGTTGGCATAACAGGGGTAATTGAGGTTTATCCCTAGTTGTCGATTCCTCATCCTGTCAGAATAACTGATAACTGGGATATCCCGGGGTTAGTTATCTCAGATATCTCTATTTGCTGCTACTCTGGGCCCCCCTGTCTATTCGAACAAAGGATAGCACCATTTTGTAACATCCACCGTCGTAGACCGACGATAAAACGTTACAAGGATCGCCTTCTTTGTACCTACATTGAGACGATTTCAGTATTTTTAGACAAGTCGGGAAATTACTATTCATTAAGGATATATCAATAGCAATATGGTAAATTAAAAAATATTTTGATTGAAATGTCATCCCACCCTGAAGAGTTTTTATTTTTCAGATCCAAGATTATTTCCCTAATTTCATTTCCCAAAGTAGGTGAATAGTTGAAAGAATTTACTAAGGATATACATATTAATCAT